TTCAACTACGTTCTCCAGACGACTTGGGAATATCCTGCAACTCTTCTGAACGGGTTCCTTGTTTAAGTTGGTGAACGCTTCCATGAGTTAGGTGGCCAGATGTAAGGGGGTGTGTGGCCGCCTAACTGTCTGACAGCCATGATTTCTGTCTGGCATGGTGCAGATTCCTGTTGGCAAGCATAGGTTCCTCCAGGAGTCACTCACTTGACCCAGGACAGCACTACCTACTCTAAGCAGTTGATATATGCCTTCGTGAGGAGTGTCCCACACCAAAAAAATCGGGATCTCTTTCCTTATCAGAACGATCAGAATGAGTTTTCCCAGCTGCTGCATCTTCGTCGGCACTGTCCTCAGATTGACACACGAACACTCTGACATGTGCACATTGGTGCTTCCGGTGCGTATGCCAAGTAGTACAGCATGTCGTTTCCAAATTTCTGTCGAAGTGAATTGCGTCATGGTGCTCTTTTTTGTCACAAACGGTGCCCGATTGAACCTAACGTAGTTTGCAGTCGACAAAATCAAAAGCAAACAACGTGCATGCGCAAAACGAAAAATATGAAATGGCGACAATTTACCCATCGCACCCTGTAGAGTTACGACTTTAACGAGAGAGAAATATTAATATCAACATTTTAATAATAGAATGAAAAAAAATGTTCAGATTTAGATAGATAGATAGATATAAGTAGGAATAAATGCAGAGAAAGGGAGGAAGGTACAAAGGACATATGAAAATTTGTGAAAATCTTTGTTTCGCTGAGTATTCTGTTTCGAGCAAAAATAATTTAATTTCAAATGTACAGAATATATGTTAACGAGAAAAACATTTTTTTTTAAACGTCTGAATGTTTCTTTTTTTTATCTATCGTTATTTAAATTACATTTTAATTAATTTCCTTTCTCACTTTTACTTTATTTATTCATGGTTTAGACATTCTAAATTGTCCCTATACATTTTTTTTTAATTACTAAGCTGACATAGCTCAGTCATATATTAATCGTAGGAAATTAAAATAAACACACTCAATGCACTTGTGTGCCACCGAAAACACCGTGATCACAATTTTGACTCGGGAAACGCCAATTTAATAAAATAATCATATAATAATTGTTCCTGTCCATGTTTTTGTTAGTCCCTTAGTTCGCATGCCTGTTACACCCTACCGATAGCTTATGAATAATGGACTTGGAAAGACAAAAATATGAGAGACGCTATTTTGTTTCATAGATAGATAGATAGATAGAAACAGATATGAACAGATTGAGATAGATAGATAGACAGATATGAACAGATTGAGATAGATAGATAGATAGATAGATAGATAGATAGATAGGAACAGATATGAACAGATTGAGATAGATAGATAGATAGATAGATAGATAGATAGATAGATAGATAGATAGAAACAGATATGAACAGATTTAGATAGATAGATAGATAGATATGAACAGATTGAGATAGATAGATATGAACAGATTGAGATAGATAGATAGATAGATATGAACAGATTGAGATAGATAGATAGATAGATAGATAGAAACAGATATGAACAGATTGAGATAGATAGACAGATAGATATGAACAGATTGAGATAGATAGATAGATAGATAGAAACAGATATGAACAGATTGAGATAGATAGATAGATAGATAGATAGAAACAGATATGAACAGATTGAGATAGATAGATAGATAGATATGAACAGATTGAGATAGATAGATAGATAGATAGATAGATAGATAGATAGATAGAAACAGATATGAACAGATTGAGATAGATAGACAGATAGATATGAACAGATTGAGATAGATAGATATGAACAGATATGAACAGATTGAGATAGATAGATAGATAGATAGATAGATAGATAGATAGATAGATAGATAGATAGATAGAAGTATTTAATGTCTCCTGCTAGTACCTCATTAATAATGGACAATATCGTTTTGAACGCGTGGAAAGATAAAGGAAATATCAGAAACGCTACTAGGTTTCAGTGAGAAAATGAAAGAGAAAAAGGAAATCTGGAAGTGGTTAACCTTTGTTTAAGTAAAATGGAAAAACAAATTGTCAAATTCAAATCTTTTCATTTGTGCCCACTTCTTAAACTAATGATCAACATTCATATTTATGATCGTTATTTCAATATTTTGTTAAAGTTTTTAAGCTCAAATATTTAAAAAAAATGACTATGGGGGAAATCATACGGATATTTTATTGTCGAATAACTCGCCCTGAGCTTATTCAATCATTAACTGAAGAATTAAGTTTCATCAGAAATTTTCAAATAGGAGAACTGTGAAATATTCACTGGTTGAAACTCGTGAATATAATTTACAAAAACAAAGATTCATTGAAAGTGCCACGATCCTAGAGTCCCGTACATTTAATATACGACCGGTTTATTTTAATTTATTCCTCTTTCTTTACAAAATAAGTACAGAAACAATGCATAGGGGTACTTAAACGATAAAAATGGCTCAAATATAATTTCTATAATGATATATGTAAAGTAAATATTCAAGCGTTCAGAGGCTTAACGTAAATTCCGTTTAATTGAGCTAATCTAGATTTTATTCTTAGACCACCTACAAAACATGTCAGAGAAAAGACAATTCTATATTATCTAACATATTGCTGCCAGGTCCTCATGGAAATAGACTGAGATAGATAGATAGATAGATAGATAGATAGATAGATATCGTCTTACCCAGGACACGGATGTAGTTTATGTTAACGAGAAAAAAAAAAACGTTTTTTTTAAACGTCTGAATGTTTTTATTTTCATCTATCGTTATTTGAATTACATTTTAATTATTTTTCCTTTCTCACTTACTTTATTTATTCATGGTTTAGGCATTATAAGTTGTCCCTATACATTATGATAGATAAGGACATATAGAAATAGATAGGTAGATAGATAAGGACACATATAGATAGATAACAACGCAGCTAGATAGATAGAGTGATAATGACACATATAGATAGATAAGAACACATTTAGATAGATAGATAGATAGACAGATAGATAGACGTTAGAGAGAGATAGGGAAAAATCTAGATAGACAAATAGATAAGGACAAACGTAGATAGATAGATAGATAGATAGATAGATAGATAGATAGATAGATAGATAAAATAGATGCTGAAATACCAGTTCTCACTACGCAATTATATATTAAACTTAAGCGACCACAGTATTTATCGTATATTTTTTCTTGGAACTATAATTCAAAGAGAAGAATTCAAAGCTCTCCAGTTTGTATAAATATTAACCTGTTATTTTGAACAATTATTAAATTTCAATTTTACAATTGTAATAAAGAAACATTTATGGACTGACCTCTTTTGCAAGAGTAAGATTAGAAAACAAGAAGCAAATTAAAAATCCTTCATACCAAAAATCTTCTCTGTTAAATTACCTGTAATTTTTTCAATCTGAATATGAAGTTTTCTGAAAAGAAAAATTATTAATTTTCTTATCAGAAAACTTCATATTCAGAGAATGCAGGGAATATTTTATTTACATATAAAGAACGGAAGGCGCGTTATATTTTTAACGTCTAACTTTTAAAAATCTGATTCGACTTAAGGGTAACAAGAGTGACTGGAATGATTACAGGGGGATATCTCTTCTTTCCGTTGATGGTAAGATCTTCGCTGGGGTCCTTCTGAAATCGCTACAAGGTTGGCTGATCGCATTCTGCCAGAGACAGTCTGGATTGTACCCACTTCTTAAAAGATTGGTATGGTTTTTACACTAAGCCAGTTGCAGGAAAACTTAAGAAAACAAAAAAAAACCACTCATCATCGCCTTTGTTGATTTTGACCAGCTGGAAATATCTCTATAAGCTACTGAAAAAAATCGGTTGTCCACCTATTCTTTTTCAGCTGGTCATTTCTTTGCATGAGGACATGAATGCACGCATTCAATGCGATGGGAATGCATCAGATTTGCTGAAGATGTGGAGTGGCATGGAATAGGTTTGCGTCATGGCACCCACTTTAATTTGCCATTTATTTTGTTTCCGTCATGCTTTTGTGGGGGACGAGGATGAAGTTTACCTTAAAGCTGGGTCCGATGGACCCCTTTCAATTTGAAAAGACTGAAGTAAAACGACTGAAGTCGAAACGATTGACGACTGGAGAGGTGATTAAAGAATTGCTTTGCGCTGGTGATGCTGCAACAATGGGGCACAGTGGAATCGAACTTCAAAGACTAGTCGATCGTCTAGGGGAAGCATGCGATCTCTTCGGGATGACAATCAGCGTCAAGGGACAAACACACCACCAGAGATAACTCTTGGCGGTAAATCTAAGAAAACAGTAGATAAGTTTGTTTAGCGTCCTAGGTAAGACGATAAACTACATCCGCCTCCAGGGTAAGACGATAAACTATATCCGCGTCCTGGGTAAGAAGATAAACTATATCCGCGTCCTGGGTAAAACGATAAAATACATCCGCCTCTAGAGTAAGACGATAAACTACGTCAGCGTCCTGGATAAGACGATAAAGTACATTCGCGTCCTGGGTAAGACGATAAACTGCATCCACGTCCTGGGTAAGACGATAAATTACATCCGCCTCCTGGGTAAGACGATAAACTACGTCAGCGTTCTAGGTAAGACGATAAACTGCATTCGCGTAGTGGTTAAGACGATAAACTACATCTGCGTCCAGGGTAAGACGATAAACTACGTCCAACAGCAAAGCCTCTGATCAGGAGGCTTTGAGGAGCGTGGTCCCACCTCATAATTGCTGGTCTTCTCACGTTCACCCTGACCC